GATATAGTTCACAACTTTCATTTAAATTACATTACATGTACTTGTATCTGATCATACATATGTTCATTTTTTCTCTCTTTTATTAACTTTTAAATGCATGTTAAATATTTAATATTTAATATTTAAACTCAACAGAAAAAAATATTCATTCAAAATGTGAAATTTTATCGCAAAATATTATGTTCCAAAATTTTTAAACCACGTACAACATGTCACAACCATACTAGAAGATAGTAGGTTTGTGTCGCCCACATAGTGAACAAGTGGTGGCGGCACTCACGTGTCGCCCATCGGACCATGTTGAGGGCCGAGAAAGAAGTGTTGTGATGCGATCAAGGATGATGGTACATTACCTATCACACCTCAAGGATGTGCACAAGAATGCCTAGAGAAGGTGTACACATAATGCAAGACGAAGGCGATGTTAGTGGTGTCAGTGACAAGCTCAGTGGGGGCTAGTTGGGGTCCCTAGCCATGACCCTAGAAGTCGGAGTTCCGTCAAGAGTTTGGACGAGTAGCTTTAGAGTTAGATGCATATTAGTGAGATATGCAAGCACGCCAAGTTTCGTGTCAATCGGAGTTCAGATGTGCGCTCTATGTTGGTGAGTGACTTCTCGTCACTTTGCATGTACACGCTTGACAGACCAAGATTGCCTTAAAATGTACTAGAGGGGGAGGCATGGTGTCAGATCTCCACCACCCCTGAGCTTTGTGGCCTAAGTGAGCTACCCCATGACACATACGTGTGTCATGACATGGGTGAGCGTTGCAAAACGACATCTTTCTTTGAGAATGAGAATCTCAAGGATAGTGTCGGGCGGTTATTGTGTCCACACAACTGTGCTGACAACACGTGCAAGTATATATGAAATCGTCGGTTGTAGTACGTAACGAGGTCGTATCCACAAAGATTTTTGGATAATATTTTAACTATACGTGTAGATACCAACAAAGAAAAATATAAAGAGTTCGGTGTATGGAAATTATCTAGAAGAAATATAAAAACAACAAGACAACAGATGCTTGCAGCAGACACGATTATCGAAGCTGTCGACAACAAAAAGCTCTAACACAAAACGCGATAATGACGGGTTAACAAATATGGAAAAGGCGAGGGAGATTCATCATATTTTCACAGGTTATCAACCTACCCTATAGCTTACTAACATCTATTAATGCCCAATTCAACTCGATTCTCTTCCGAAACACCTCAAACATAAGTAAGTACAACTCACATTGCTAAATACCCAAGCAATAAACGCAAGCCCTAGGCATGATTAGGGGACTCCATTCCTGAGTATCCCTAATGCTATAGAAAAGTGCTAATCACGAATAAAGCACATCAGCACCCATAAGCCCTCCCGAGTCAATACAGTAGCTAACAAACACGACAGAGTGGCCAACAATGTCACGCAAGAATGAAGAAATATAGAACAACTTTATTAAAAAATAGTGTAGCAGCTAGAGGTTCAGTATCAAATTAGTTACAACATGTAAATCCCCAAAATGGGATTTAGCTTATAATGGGGGAAGAAAATAAAATGGAAGAAAGGAAAATACAACCCATTTCAAGGCAGCAGCAGAGAAGAAGAAGTAGATAACTCATCGAAGCAGGTGAGCCTCCTCTTTCCGTAGTCAGCTATTGCCCCGCAAATGGAGATGTTCCATCCTCTTGTCTTTTCAGCTCTCCAATTTTGTCTCTCTTGGGCTCTGTGTGTCTGTCGGCTAGGGTAGAACATCCTTTAAATATCGGGTTCCGTTTTTAGGGCACCCAGCAGAAATTTGTACAAACACGGTAAATCCCGTGTCTGGGTTGTTACTGCATAGTGAATCCATGCTACAGCTTTGCTTCGCTCCAGCTTTCATCTGCTCTGACTTGAACATGTTTCATCTACTCTTCTCTAGACTCAACACTCTTTTCATACTTTGTCTTCATTTTCCAAACCTGTACGATTAAACTAGAAATAAGAACATTTAGTGCAATATTTAGCTAGAGCATTCAAGACCTGAGACTTTTAGCTTGGATTCCAATTTCTAATCTTTTCTAGGCTAAATGCGCACTAAAACCAACACACTTTAACAATTCTTTGCATAAAATCACCAAAATAATACTAGAATAACTCTCTTTTGGAGAGTTATCAGCGGCACAGGTGTGCCAAAATTGCGCCTTGTCCCATGGGTTGAAGGTTGCACATAGGGGCCGTTATGCGGTACGATATGCTCAAATAACACGACACGGGTACGAGAGTCGTCGTGCCTTGATTATGTCTGGATGTATGGATGTCCGAAGGGTCTTAATCATAAATACAAGCTCGTGGATCTGTTCTCGGTATGCATGCTTAAGTGAGCATCGAAGCCCGATGACATCTATTTGGTCCCTAAGTTTAACAAAGTAATAGGTGGTCTGCGAACTTTAGAAAGTGGTTCTAAATGGTCCATGAGGTTATTTGAACATTTACCGGAAAAATGATATAGTATAATTGAGTTGACAAATTTTAAATGACATGACAATATTAAATAAATTTATATTATTTCTATCTTATGTGTATTATCGTATAACAAAAAGAAAAATAATAATAAATTATAATATCTTAAACATCTTTTTATATATCGTCTAACATTGAATCAAAATCAACAAGTCGATGTTTATATATATAGTGAAAAAGTACACTCCAAAAACTTAAAAAATATGTTTAAAAGTTCGTGTAGAATAAAAAATTTATAAATTTCTTAAAAAATATATATATAAAATTATTAAATGAAATAAAACTAAATATAAAGATGATAATATATGATTTTTACTGCGAGTAAAAGAAATAGTATTAAAATTAATAATAAATTCGGGTTGGTTCGGTTCAACTCAAACTTATTTTAGGTGAATATTTGAACCAATCCAATCCATAGAATTTTCTTTTATCTGAATCTAACCCAACCTAAAGAAGTTTATAGTTGGACCCAAACTGTAGGAATTGATCGATTCTTTTGGGTTATCGAATTTTTTTAGTACCCCTATTTCTAGCCAGAAGATGTGAGACATCTAAATTTACTAAAAAAACAAGATTTGTGGCTAGTAATTTTAACGTAAAAAAAGTATTAACTTTTTCAGGTCATTTTATCATTTCCTTTAAAATAATTTGAAAAACGTGTTCGAGATTTTTTTTTTTTGAATACAACATGTGGCGGGTGAATTCGAACTCACAACCTTTTAGTGGGACATATATGACTTTACCGGTTGAACTATGCTCAAATTGACCAAAAAAAAGATTGCTCAATCAACGTTAATTTAAAATAAGCTCCTACTCAATTACATTCAATATACATAAAAGGAAAAATGATTATTGATTAATTATTTTAAAAGTATAGCTTCGCAAATGTAGCAAGAAATTTAGTTCATAGATCCCACATGAGGAAAATTTATTATTGATTAATTATTTTAAAACTATAGCACGACAAATTTAGTGAGAAAAAGAAATAATATTATTATAAAGAGGGAAAACGTGAGTGGCAAGATTCGAACGTGTTCGAGATGACTTTAGCCGGTGAACCATGATCAAATTAATAAAAAAGAAAGAGAAAAAGACGTGTTTGAAATTATTTTATCAACGTTAAATTAAAATGAGCTCCCGCTCAATTCCATTAATATACCTACAACGGTAGCATTGCAAAGTGAAAAAGAAAGAATATTATTCTTTAAAGACAAAAAACGTGAGCGGCAGGATTCGAACCTGCGCGGGCAGAGCCCACATGATTTCTAGTCATGCCCGATAACCACTCCGGCACGCCCACTTGATGTTCAATTTTATAAACTGTTTTTTATATAACAATAACAGTATTATTTAATTATTTACATAAGAATGATTTATTCTTTTTCCTTTTTACAGGGAGGATTATTTTTAGGATATGGAGAGAATATATATATATATATATATTTTTAGTTTAACAAATGAAAATATGAACCTCTAACCTTAAAAAAAGTATACATTACATTTGACAATTTGAATTATATTGAAGTTGACATATTCTAAATATGAACTAATTTTTAAAGATATTTATGTTTAAATATAGTACAAAGTAGAAAAAAAAATAGCATATTTAGGTTTGATTCAAGTTTAAACTTTATACATAATAAAAAAAAGTTAACGTGTATTATATTGAAAAAAGAAAATGAAAAGTCTATAAATTAATTTTAGAATATATATTAAACTACCCACCCAAGCATTGGTTAGCTGAGTCTAAAGTTGTATTTTTTTTTTTGACGCACGGATATATACTTTCTATTTCTAACATATCTTTTATTTCTCTAACTTTTTAAAAAGAAAAAAAATTAAATACTACTCAATATTTGAGAAAAAAAAAGAAAGATTTTTGCACCAATTTTCACTTTTGATAGCAATGTTGGTCAACACCCAACATTTATGCATCCTACAAAACCACATAATTTCTTTTCTTAGTCAATCTGCATACATCATTGGTCAAAACATTAAGATTTGAATTCCTATCCTATAAATAGTTGTACACAAAATAATAACAATAATAAATAATTTTTTTGTGAGTTTGGTTTAAATTCAAAATAATAATAATAATAATAAATAATCGAGCTTGATTTAAATTCCCATGTCGTCAACAATTTTTAAAATTTAGAGATAATTGATGGAAGTGAAAATTCCAGAATATAATAGCAACAAATCTTATGATTGCAACATTTAGATTAAATTGATTTGTATGGAATAGAATGCAAGTAACATTTAGATTGAGACATGTTTAAATTTCTTTTCCGTTCCTTAATTAGAAATTCCAAAACTGATAAACGGGTGGGATATTAGGATAAAAGAATCTAAAGTCTGCTTTAACTCGAGTGGCTTTAAGATCCTTCATGGAACATCTCGAACAAAATTCTATTTTACTCGAGTTCCTGCTCCACTCGTCACATGGTTAACAAAATTTTTATTATATGTCACTGCATTCTCAATGCTGGTGAACGGTTCATTCCTTTTGGTCGGTCACCTAGTCTTTGAAATGTATAGTCTCACAGTGGCAGCGCTAATCTTCTCCAGCACCGCATAGAAAGAATCCACCATGACATCAAACAGATTATAGTAGTTCAGATTTCCATACACCACTCCCGACGTCGTGGAAGTGAAGAGGGTGTAATTTAGTGGGATTTGTTGTAGGTTTGATGTGTACGCGAAATATGGGTACACGTTCAGCAATAATGGTACACCACTAGCGCCCACCACCTTTGCAATGTTGCTCAGAGGTCTGGCAGCTGCGATGGTGAATGCTCCAGCGAAGGGAGGGTACGAGACTCCCGTGGCGCTTATGTGGACCACTTTGGTTATCTATGGTGAAGAAATTGATAATTGATAAAAATAAAAGACGGTATAAATATAAAGAGATTAAATTGAACCAAAACTAAAACTGCAAAAACTTAATTGAACTAAGCTCGAATTGTAGTGACATGCTCAAATTATAGTGACCAAATTAAAAATTTTAAAATCATATGAACTAAATTGAAACTAATTGATCCAAATTGTAAATAGTAAATTGAAACTTTTAAAACCACACCAACTAAATTGAAAAATAAACTTCCACCTTAATTTTTTTTATTTTCCGATGTGATGCTTAAAGTTTTTAATATATCCACTTATCTATTAAATACGGTATAAGTAGACTAATGAAAGTACACACCACACCATCAAAAAAAAAAAAGAAAGTACACACCACGTCATAAAAAAACTTATATAAGTAAACTATTGAAAGTACACACCATTCATAAAGAAATTTCTAATAATTGACGTATATATAAATAAGAGACTAAATCAGTCTTATTTTAAACTTTAATTTAAAATATCATGTTCTTTTTTATGCTAGTAGCCACGAGTGATTGCATTATGTTTCTAATAGCATTGGGAACGAAAGGTGTACCTGGGTCGGCAGAGACGACTTCGTTGCCAACGATAATGTATGCGATATTGACATCTGCATAACAAAGAAGCACACGAGTGTATCCAAATATTGGGCGCCATTTGGTTGGAGACGAAGCAGTGTATGTCTTCATTTCTAGTTCCCAGCTACAGGACATTTGGTTTGTCACGCATCTTATCTAAAACGCTGTGATTCGACTCAAATATCTGCACGATATCGATGCTGCACCGCCTGTACAGGTTTATATCACATCATTTGATTGCAGCAGATTGTCATCGTTCAGCCCGTAGTTCACTTCGATGTTGCCCAAACCATCTACCAACGTAAATTAAAGGTGTGTTTTATTAGTATAATGAAAAATAGAAATGATTAATGAAAAATAGAAATGTATTCTTCGTTGATAGATAGAAGCTTCTTACTCAGGAGAGGAGAGGAAGTTGATGGGAAAGAAGAGCGCCCACAGAAGGTCCATTGTGAATTTGTGAGATAATGGAAAAGATGGGAAATTGATTTAAGGAAGTTGGGTTTTATAACCCATTCGTGTTTCTTTATTATCTAAAATTTTAAATAAAAAAAATAGTAAAAGTTTTATAGGAAAATTAAAATTTTAAATTAAATATTCATAGTTTTTTAATGTTATAATTTGATATTTGTTATGCGTTAAAAATAATAAAATAATATTTTTATCCTATGTTTTAGAAAGGAAAAAAACAACTGAAATTAGGAACCAGAAACAAAAAACTTGTTTTGTTATTTAAAAAATTTCTACATAATTTTAGAAATGTTTGTGTTTCTAACAAACGAGAAACAAGAAACAATGACAATTAGCAAACAATTAGGTTTTTAAAAGAATAAAAATGAGAAATAAGAAAGGGAAACGTTATCAAATGAGCTTTAAATGACTAGTTTTATTACTGCCTGCATTTGAATAGGATTTTTCTCTCATTTATTTGATTTTATAATTAAATAAATGTTAAAATAAACTTAATTACATTCCAAATAAAATAACTTATTAAAAGTAGCACGGTAACATGAATAATAACCAAATAGAATATTATAAGTTAATAAACATTCTCATTTTCTTATAAAATGTACTTATTGGTAAATAGAATGCATTCACAAGTATTTTAAAAATTAAGAAAAAAATTACAAAATAAAACAAAATAACAATGGTAGGAGAAAGGAAAAATTAAAGACGTGTGCTCTATACAACTTTCAAAAATAGATTTACCTCTCACTTGATAATTGTTAAACAAATCCCAATATGTGACTTCAATAAAAAGAAAAACGACAGACTAATCGTAGAGAACAAGTGGAGTTCTAATTCTAAGTGGTTAGATAAGAAAAATGGTGAAAGAAATACCTATTTTTACAGTTGTAGAGAATTAAAAAGATATAAAAGTTTTATTGTATTTAAATTTTTGTTGATTTACGTTAATCTATATATTTTGTTTATTAAAAATTTTGATAAATGTTTTTAGTCATTTTTATTATGCAAAACCTATCAAATAAAAAGGTTGATATACCTTGTCTTTTCGCTCTATATAATGCCATTTGGACTATGTCTATTTAAATATTATATCTAAATAAAAATAAAAATTTATAAATATAATACATTACTAAAACATATATAATTCACCAAGTTATAAAATAATAATTTTAATCATTTTCTCGGACCCACATGCACTTTAAATATTTATAGTGAGAAAATGAGAGATTCCAATATTTTTATATTCTGTATAAAAACAAAATGTAATAATTATTAAATTAAAAAGCTACTTTTGAGTTTCTGGTTCACTTGGGTGAGTAGAATAAAAATATTACTGCTCAATTTTATTTAGAAAAATATAATTTTAATGTAATAATAAATCAATCCAAATAAATGAATAACATGATTCTTCAAACAAAATTTTATTTGTGGATTAAGGTCTGGCAAAACTCACTACCATGGATTACCGAAATAAAAATGCATGTCGATCCATTATATTAATGACAATTGAAACTTGTGATTACACTCTAAATTTAAGCAATAATCTTCCCTACTTAATTTAAACTTAAATGTTCTACCCCAGAAATTTAACTTTGGCCATTACTTCAATATTTGATATTTACAACCTTGATTACATGTATAAACCATGAATATAAAAAATGCACGATCTCCTAAATTTAGAGCATGAAACTCTATACCATCATCAAGGTTGAAAATGAAGTTGATGAGCCAAATTAATTTTCTTGTGTAAGATAGGGATGTTGGAGTAACATGTTAGCCGTCCATCTTCGTTGAGATCATGATCAAAGCAGCTTGCAAGAAAATCTCTTCCTTCTCTGGATAATTCTTCTGGTATATCAGCCGGTAATTCCATCTCATGCACAAGCTTTTTTATGAACTCACCACTAGTTTGGCAATTCTTCCATACTTGCTTTCCCGTAATCATTTCAACTAGAATGCAACCCAAAGACCAAATATCACATGGAGGGCTAATACTACCAAGAACAACAGATTCTGGTGACATGTATATGGGCGTTCCTTTAAACTTCGGCTTGGAACTTGCTGTAGTAGTATTTAGTACCACTTCATGGTCCTGGTGGACCCATCTCTTAGAAAGTTCGAAGTCAGCTATCTTTAACTTCATCTTGCCATCATCTCGAGGGAATGCAAGAATGTTAGTTGGTTTGAGATCGGAATGCACAAACCCTTTACTATGGATACAAGACAACCCTCTCAATATCATTTTAAGATATTCCTTCACTTGATTCTCCGGCAACTTCTTTTCTTTTTTAATCAAATTGACTAAGGTACCTCCAGCAGCATACTCCAATATCAGATTGTAACAAAGGGAAGACTCTTCAAGGGTTATCTCATCTCCAATACATTGAATAATTTCTGGGCATCCGATGAAGTGTTGTAGAATATCTTTTTCGATGACGAGCGAAGAAGATTTTGTTATGAAAGCGACTTTGACAGCAACATAGTAAATAGGTCCCATGGTTGGCTTGGCTAAGAACACTATCCCATGAGATCCTTCACCCAAAACCATAACTCGAGTCCAAGTTCCTAACGAAACACAAACGGTGGATCCTAACTGCATCCTGTCTGTAAAAGGAAAACACAAAAATCAGTAAAACGAATTTTCCTTTTAACCCCAAACCCACAATTACCTAAACCACTATATAGAGAATGTTAATTAAAAAAAAGTAATGAAAGGAATAATGGAAACCCAGGAGAGAAAAATATACCTTAGTCAGAAAAGAAAAGAAGAAAGTGATGAGTCTAGAGAGAGATCAGAGAAAAATAAGTATTTAATTTTAGTGTTATTGAAAGGTGAAATAATGGATGTATTTAAAGGAATATGAGTCCTGCTTTCTTAGTTCTAATAGGAAATGAAACTCTTCTTTATTTCAAATTTGAATCCATCTTATTTTCCGATCCCTTTTATTGTTTTCATTTATCTTCTAGTTCAAATTCATACTTTTCAATTTTAAATTTCATTTTATAGTCTAGAGCCTTGAAGAAAAAATTAATTAACTATTCTATAGTTATTGGTAGGTGAAGTAATTGATGTATTAAAAGATATTTGGGATTGTGATTCCCTTATTTTAATAGGAATCAAATCCCTCAGCTTTATTTGAAAATTCATTCATTTTAATCAATTTTAACTTTCAATTTCGGGTATAACGATTTCCACTGTCCACAATTTACTTGTTTATATATTGATTTTCACATCCTTATTTTTTCTTTTCCATTTATAGATAATAGGCTTTGGTTATAATTCTGATTGCAAATTTAGAATTTATGATAATTCATTAAATATATATTTAAATAATTTTTAAAATTTACTTTTAGTTGTATAAATATATATTTAATTAATTTAATTCTATACATACATTTGTTTTCTCTATCGATAATAGTTAGAATACAGGTTAACGTTTATTATGTAGATTTTTTTTTTCCTTTGAAAAATACTTGCATAAATGTAAACCATTGAAAAAGCCCATCATTATTGAGCCTCTCTAATTTTTGGTGAGAAACATTTTAAATTCTCTCATTTTTCTTTTAACTTTCTTTATTACTATAAAATTATTTTAAATTCTCTAAATTTTTGTACTACAAATACATTGACTAAAAACACTTAGTACTAAAAATTTTCAATTTAGTTCCCTGTATTTTAATATTTTAATTATACTTCTATGGATTATAAATATTAAAATTTTGACCGGTGAAAACCTTAACTCGCATGATATGATATTTAGTAGTTTAGTGCCAATATGAGCATAGATCAACGGTAATTGATACCTATTATTTTCCTTGAATTGATCAGTTTCTTCAAGTCATCGAATTTTTTGAACACCCTTATTTCTGAGCATCGGAACATGTCAGATATCTAAACTTATTGGAAAAATAAAATTTGTGAATAGTAATTTTAAGGTTAAAAAAAGTATTCATTTTGTAAGGTCATTTTATCATTCTCTCAAATAATTTGAAAGATATGTTCGAGATTGCTCAATCAACATTGTATTAAAATAAGCTCGTACGCAACTACATTCAAATATACATAAGGAAAAATTTATTATTGATGAATTATTTTAAAAGTATAGTATCGTAAATTTAATGAGAAATTTAATTAACTCAATTGAGGATATTATTATTATTATTATTATTTTAGTACAACATGTGGGGGTGGAAATCGAACTCACAACCTCTTAATTAAAGATATATGCCAATTACCGATGAACTATGTTCGTTTTGGCCTAAAAAAAAAAGGTATGACACAAAAATAAAAACATGAGCGGTAGGATTCAAACCTGCGCAAGCAAAGCCCACATGATTTCTAATCATGCCCGATAACCACTCCGACATGCCCACAAGATATTCAAATTCTAAAACTGTTTATTAATTAAAAAATAATATTATTAATTTATTTATATCAGAATAATTTTTTTTTTCCATTCTCACAGAGAGGATTATTTTTGTTAGTTTTGCAAGTGTCCTATCTCATCCCACATGTATGAAAAGATTCAAATCAATATAATGCTAACTTCATCGTTTAGACATTTTTTTATGAGATTCTCTTTAGGGCCAACTTAAGCTATAGGCGAGTAGGGAGGTCGTCTAAGCCCCCTAATTGTAGAAAGATCTCGTCGAACACTATGAAAATAATCTGTTGGAATGTTCGAGGATTGGGGACCCTCGAACATTCCGTGTCCTAAGTGATTTCTTGTATTATGAAAACCTTATTCTTTTTCTTATGGAAATCAAATGTAATGAGTGTTTAACTAATAAATTGAAACTCATGCTCAATTTCCATGGATATGTTATAATGAAAACTCATGAGAGAATCCTAGCTATATAAGTTCACCAAAATGAGGAATTGAGTGATAAATAGTAAACTCAAATATAAATTCCTTGCTTTGTTAACTTTGTTAATTTTGGAGAAGTCTGAGCTATCTCTATTGTTTTTTGGCTTGTTTTTGGAAAATCTAGAAGTATTGGAAGTAGAGGTGTAGAAACAGAAGGAATTGTTAGGTCTTTTAGATGCTAGAGTCTTGATGTTGGAGCATCGTTTGTTGTAGAAATTTACGGCAGTGCAATAACAAGTTTTACACGGAATTTTTACTGAAGTTCATACCGCGCGCATTTTATCGGGTTTTGTTCTAATTTTTGGGGAGCTAGAAAAATAACAAGATGGGGTTGTCTCATTATCAATCCCGAAGGGGGAATAGATCCCAAGATATCTTCAAGGGAACCCATTTTTGAGGAGGAAGTTGATGATAGGAAGCTGTTGGTTTCTTTGTTGAGCTAGAGGTTTCGACGGGTTTAAAACCACTCTTTCACGAAATAGGTTATTTATTTTCTTTGCCCATTTTATTTTCCCCATTCCCCATGAACTAAACCACATTTTTGGGGATCCATTGCTGTAATTGTGAACAGAGGCTTTCTAGCATGCTTTTACTGCTATTAAATAGAGTTATAATATTTACATCTTACTTATCTTTGTCGACCGCATCTATCAGTTTGTTTGGTCTTGTATGACTTGAAAGTGTATATAGGTAGCATGTTTGACTCTCTGTGGTTAGCTACTATTTTCTAGTAGATTTATGGATGCTTAGGGATAATGTTTGCCTAATGATGTTAATAAACTGTTCTTTATGCTTGGGTATTTAGCAATGGAAGTTGTAGATATTCATTTTTGGGTGTCTAGGAAGGGGACCACGTCGGTTTGAGCATCAGCTGCGATTTTATGCTAGAGCATCTTCTATGAGCGAGTAAAGGCATATACAAGGCTATTGGGATAAAAGAAGCCAAAACTCTGCTCAACTCCAGCTGCTTTGAGATCCTCATTGAACATCTCAAACAAAATCCCATTGTACTTCACATTTGGCCTCTTCGGAGTTCCTGCTCCACTCGCCACATGGTTCATGAAATTTTTGTTATACGTAAACTGCATTCTCAATGCCGGCGAATGACTCATTCCCTTTGGTCGGCCACCCCAATGGCAACGAAAGGCGTAGCTGGGTCGATAGGGACAACTTCGTTGCCAACGGTAATATATGCAATATTGACATCCACATAATAAGGAAGCACGTGAGCGTTAACCCAAGCATTGGCCGCCATTTGATCGGTGGCGAAGCTGTGTATGTCTTCATTTCTGGTTCCCAACCACAGGGCATTTGGTTTGCCATGCAGCGATCCAAACTGTCGTGGTTCGACTCAAATATCCGCACGATATCGATGTCACACCGCCCATACACGTTTATCACATCACTTCGTTGTGGCAGATTGTCGACGTTAAGTCCGTAGTTCACTCTGTATCGTTCATAGAAGACAACAACACTGGAAATAAGAAATAAGAAAGAGGAACATTAAATGCATACACAAGAATCGTTCTCTAACTTATCTGATTCATATTTTTTTTTGAAGAATTATTTTATAATTAAATAAATGTTAAAATAAAAATTAATTACATGTCTAACAAAATAACTTGTTCAAAGCAGTGTAACACGAATAATAACTTAACACATTTAAATTTACCAAATAGAATATTATAATTTAAGTTGTCCAAAAAAATATTATAATTTAATAAACACTCTACTTTTCTTATAAGAGTTAGCATATCTAATGCATAAACAAGTATTTTATATAATTAAAAAAAATATACAATATTAGAAGGGAAATCAAAGACATATCTATATACAACTTTTTGAAAATTGATTTACCTCTCAATTGATAATTGTTAGACAAATATCAATATGTGACTTCAATAAAATGAAAAATGAGAGACTAAGTAGAAAACAAATGGAGCTCCAAGTGGTTGGATGAGAAAAATTGTAGAAGCAAACCTATATTTATAGTCGTAGAGAATTGAATAGTTATAATTAAAACTATTAGAATTTAGTATTCTACAATTAATTATAATTAAATGGAAGATCTTAAAGAAATGATAAAATCTATCACACTCAAAGTCTTTTACATTCCATACATTTATCAAATTTCATACTAAAAGCTATATATATTTACATTAATCTACATATTTGTTTATTAAAAATTTTGATGAATATTTAATCTCATTTTTATTATTACTATCAAATAAAAAGATTGATACCTTCATCTTTCCACTATTATTAAAGTCATTTGGATTTATTTGAATCCAAATGTTATGGGTCTATTTAAATATCATACCTAAATAAACACTTAAATTTATGAATATAATACATTACTAAAACAATAATTCATCAAATAGAATATCATTGAGTTATAAAATAATAAGTTTCATAAAATAATAATTTTTATATTTTTTCAACACTCACAAAGATATGCACCTAAAAAATTTAAATATTTGTAGTCGTAAAAAATTGGGGATTCCAAGACTTTTGCTATTTTATCATAAAATGTAACCATTATTAAATTAAAAAGTTATTATTGAATTTTTAGCTCACTTGAGTGAGTACCATAGATGTAAAACGATCATCCAATTTTATTTAGAGAATAAAATCTTAACCAAGTAATAAACCAATTTAAATAAATGATCAATAAAATTATTCTTTAAATAAATTTTGTTTGTTGACTAAGGTCCAACAAAGTTCACAGCCATTTATTATTGAAATAAATAACATGTCAATTATATTGATTGTGATCAAAACTTTGCTATTATACTCTAAATTTAAGCATATTCTTCACAAATTAATTTAAACATACAAGTTGTATCACATAAACTTAACTTTGGTCATTATTTAATATTTAAAACCTTGATTACAGGTATAATCCATGAATATAAAACTGGGAGGAAGTTAAAAAGAAGTTGCACCCTGTGGTTAATCCATGAATATATAACAACGCGAGAGGGCTCGTAGCACCCCCTCTCCCTCTTCCTCATTGGTCTCCTAGATTTAGAGCATGAAACTTTAGACAATCATAAAGGTTGAAAATTAAGTTGATGAGGCGAATCAATTTTCTTGTGTAAGATAGGGATGTTGGAGTAACATGTTAGCCGTCCATCTTCGTTGAGGATCATGATCAAAGCAGCTTGCAAGAAAATCTCTTCCTTCTCTGGATAATTCTTCAGGTATATCCGCTGGTAATTCCATCTCATGCACAAGCTTTTTTATGAACTCACCAATAGTCTGACAACTCTCCCATACTCGCTTTCCCGTAATCATTTCAACTAGAATGCAACCCAAAGACCAAATATCACATGGAGGGCTAATACTACCAAGAACAACAGATTCTGGTGACATGTATATGGGCGTTCCTTTAAACTTCGGCTTGGAACTTGCTATAGTAGTATTTAGTACCACTTCATGATCCTGGTGGACCCATCTCTTAGAAAGTCCAAAGTCAGCTATTTTTAACTTCATCTTACCATCCCCTTGAGGGAATGCAAGAATGTTAGCTGGTTTGAGATCAGAATGGACGAACCCTTTACTATGGATACAAGACAACCCTCTCAATATCATTTTAAGATATTCCTTCACCAGATTCTCTGGCAATTTCCTCTGTTTTTTAATCAAATTGGCTAAGGTACCTCCAGCAGCATACTCCAGTATTAGATTGTAACAAATAGAAGACTCTTCGAGGGTTATCTCATCTCCAATACATTGAATGATTTCTGGACATCCGACAAAGTGTTGTAGAATATCTTTTTCGATGGCGAGTGAAGAAGATTTTGCTATGAAAGCGGCTTTGACAGCAACATAGTAAATAGGTCCCAAGGTTGGCTTGCCTAAGAACACTTTGCCCTGAGATCCTTCACCCAAAACCATAACTCGAGTCCAAGTCCCCAATGAAACAGAAACGGTGGGTCCTAGCTGCATCCTGTCTGTAAATTGAAATCCAAAAATCAGTAAAATGAATTACCCCGAACCCACCATAGAATATAATTAGAAAAAGTAATGAAAAGAAAATGGTATATACCGACTGAGGAAACTGAAAGAAAAGAAGAAAGTAGCTGGTTGGTGGCGGTGGCGGCAGCCGGCGGCAGGGGTAGAGTCTAGAGAGAGATCAAAGAAAACTGAAAAGAAGAAAGTAGCTGGATGGCGACGGTGACGGCGGTTGTGGAAGCCGGCGGCAGAGGTAGAGTCTGAGAGATCAAAGAAAAGTAAGTATTTAGTAAATATTTAATTTTAGTTACTGAAAGATGTATTTAAAGGAAATATAGATTCGATTTCTTAGTTCTAATAGGAAATGGAACTCCTCTTCTTTATTTCAAATTTAAACCCATTTATTATTGGATCCCTTTTATTTCTCAGATATTGTAATTTTCATTTATCTTCAAGTTCAAATTCATACTTCTTAATTTTAAATTAAATTTCATTTTCTGGTATAAATATAATGAGATGATCATTAAGGTCGTCTTTTTTTTTTTTTTTGGAAGAAAACCTTGCTTTTTCCCCTACAATATCTATTTATCTTAGTTTATAATTGTGACTGTACATTTAATTTAAAACAATTTATTTAATGTTTAAATAGTTTTTTTTGTGAGTGATAAAAGTTTATTTTAATTAAATTTATTCTATACATATTTTTCCAATGGAAGGATTCTCTTCGAAAATGTACCGCATAAATGTAAAATACTATTGAAAAATCAATGATTATTGAGCCTTTCAAAGTTTTGTAAGAAACATTTCAAATTCTCTATTTTCTTTGGCTTATTTTCTTTCTTTATCACAACAATAAAATATTTCAAGTTCCAAAAAAAATTTGGTACAATACGTTTTATTAACAAGCTTATAATTGAACTAAAATAATAATAATAATAATAATAATAATAATAACACACTTATACTATATTTAACTTTTGATTTTTTCTTCTAACTTATAACAATAATAATTCCATATATTCCAAAAAAAATATTATTAAAATTAACAATGGTTGGAAAACTCATTTCAAAATTACAATTAATCCTCGAGGTCACAAAGATAAATAGGTTAGTAATATTATCCAATGAAAAATATATTTTAATGGACTTAAATTATCAAATTTAGTATATATAATTCTATACCTCAAAGTAATAAAAATAAGAAAGCATGACTATGACTTAGAGTTTAAAGTATTTATTCTCTCTTGAAGTTAAAAGATTCAAATCTTCAATAGTATATTTTTTAATTATTATTTTAAATAATTTTTTTTATCAGATCTTCACTCCTACTTAGTAAAGAGGTCCAAGGATTGGTTTGACTAAAAACGTCACTCGACCATGAGAACCTTGACCCAAAATTATCACTTGAGAGTCGAGTCTAGATAATGAAAAGTCATGAGATCGAGAATGGCCATGCCTTCGATTCGACGTAGAAAGCAATTGGTCGGTAAAAGTGGCGGTGGAGCTAGTCTTGAGCCTTGAGATGAAGAAAAAATGAACCGACTATTTTATAGTTATTGGTAACTAAGTAATTTGATGTAATGGATTTGGGATTCTGATTTCAATAGGAATCAAATTTCTAGCGTTATTTGAAAATTTAGTTCAAATTCAAACTTTTCAGTTTTAATCCATTTCAAATTTCAATTTCGGGTATAACTTTTTCCATTATCCACAGTTTACTTATTTATATTGATTTTCACATCCTTATTTTTTCTTTTCCATTTATAGATAATAGGCTTGGTTATAATTGTGATGATATGATAATTCATTGAATATATATTTGAATAAATTTTTTAATTTACTTTTAGTTATATGAATATATCTTTAATTAATTTAATTCTATACATACATTTGTTTTCTCTGTGGATAATAGTTAGAATACAGGTTAACGTTTATTAGGTAGATTTTTTTTTTTTCAAAAAAATACCTGCATAAATGTAAACCATTGAAAAGGCCCATCATTAATGAGCCTCTCTAATTTTTGGTGAGAAACATTTTAAATTCTCTCATTTTTCTTTTTCTTTATTACTATAAAATTATTTTAAAATTCTCGGAATTTTCGTACTTCAAATACATTTACTAAAAACACCTATACTCTTACTAAAATTAAGAAACTTGCACTGGATTTAACTTTTGGAAGTCTTATATCACATGACATTACATGACGTGATATTTAGTAAATTGGTGCCAACATGAGTATAGATCAGCGGTAATTGACACCTACTATTTCCCTTGAATTGATCGGTTTTTTCAGGTCATCGAGTTTTTTGAACACCCTAATTTTTTAGGCATCGGAACACCTACTAGACGTGAGCGGCACGATTCGAACCTACGCGGGCAAAGTCCACATGATTTCTAGTCATGCCCGATAACCACTCCGGCATACACACAAGATTCTTAAATTCTAAAACTATTTATTAATTAAAACATGATATTATTTATTTATTTCTATCCGAATATTTTTTTTTTCCTTTTTCACAAGATGATTATTTTTCTTAGTTTTGGAAGTGTCATATCTCATCTCACATGTATGAAAATATTCAAACCAATGTAATGCTAACTTTATTCGTTTAGACATTTTTTATGAGATTCTCTTTAGAATTGGCTTAAGCTATATGCGAGTAAGGCGGTCGCCTAAGGTCCCTAATTGTAGAAAGGTCTCGTCGAACCCTATGAAAATAATTTGTTGGAATGTTCGAGGATTGGGGACCCTCGAACATTCCGTGTCCTAGGTGATTTCTTGTATCACGAGCACATTCTTGTTCTTTTTCTTATGGAAACCAAATGTAATGAAACGTTTAACTAAAACTTTGAAACTCACACTCAATCTCCATGGCTATGTTTTAATAAAAACTCATGAGAGAATCCTAGCTATATAAGCTCACCAAAATGAGGAATTAAGTGATAAATAGTAAACTCAAATATAAATTCCTTGTTTGGTTAATTTTGTGTGAGCTCATCTTTATTATTTTTTTTTGGGTTGTTTTTGCAGAATCTTGAGGTATTGGAAGTAGAGCTGTAGAAACAGAAGGAATTGTTAGGTCTTTTAGATGCTAGAGTCCTGATGCTGGAGCATCGTTTGCTGTAGAAATTTTTGGGCAGCACAATAACAAGTTTTACACGGAATTTTTACTGAAGTTAGTACCACGCACGTTTTATCAGGTTTTGCTCTAATTTTTGGGGGAGCTATAAAAGTAATAAGATGAGGTTGTCTCATTATCAATCCCCAAGGGGGAATAGATCCCAAGAGAGAAATTATTCCAAATTCGATGTTGAAGACAAGGAGAGAAAACCCAATTTTTAGGAGGAAGTTGATGATAGGAAGCTGAAACTGTTGGTTTCTTCACTGAGCTGGAGGTTTCGTCGGGTTTAAAAGCACTCTTTCACGAAATAGGTTATTTATTTTCTTTACCCATTTTATTTTCCCCATTCCCCATGAACTAAACCTTATTTTCAGGGGATCCCTTGCTGTAATTTGTGAACAGAGGCTTTCTAGCATGTTTTTGCTACTATTAAATAGAGTTGTTATAATATTTTCATCTTACTTATCTTTGTCGGTCGCATCTATCAGTTTGTTTGGTCTTGTATGCCTCGGAAGTGTATATAGGTAGCGTGTTTCGCTCTCTTTGTGGTTAGCTACTATTTTCTAGTATATTTATGGATGCTTAGAGATAAAGTCCACCTAACCATGCTTATAACCTGTTCTTTATGCTTGGGTATTCAGCAATGGAAGTTGTAGATATTCATTTTTGGGTGTCTCGGAAGGGAACCTAACCACGTCGGTTTGAGCATCAGTTGCGATTTTATGGTACAACATCTTCTATAAGTTAGTAAAGGCATATAGTGATCTCTCCCATTTCATTTGTTTCCCTTTTCTGTTAGTTTTGTCAAAGCATTTCTATGCCCCAGAATCTTTGATTTACAGTACTTTCTTTCTTGGAATTTCTTTCTACATTTTATAGTATTATAGTTAGTTCTAGTTATACAACATTGATTATCTTTTATTTGCATTTTTTTTGTAATCTTAAATGCACGCTTAGAGTAATATCCTTAGTCCTTGTGGATTTCGACCTCATTTATTCTACAATCGATTAGAATAGTGTATACTTGCATTTGCATTCACATCATTCGTGGACACGCAATATGTAACAACCACTTTGCAGCTGCCCAACGTTGGAAGCATCTGGACCGCTTGTTTCTGTGTAATGATTCTTTCTATTCTATCTAGATGCAAACATTTCTCACCTTCAATGGTCCAAGTCTCATCACCGTGCTATTGCTTTGCATCTCTATGCTTCCTCCAGAGCCCGTGATACGAGTATTTTAAATCCTTTCGGTTTGAGGAATGCTGGTCTCGGAATTTAGATTGTGAGCAGATTATATAAAGGGATGGTGTTTGAGAATTTTGAAATGAAAATAAATGATACAATGCAAGTGTACACCCGTCACAAGTAGTAAAACATTCCGAGTATCGATCCTTAGGGACAAATGAAGTCTTTTTTTTTGTTTTTATAAAAAATATTAATGATCGGTGACTTTGCAATTGATTTAGGGGTAACAAATATCAAGGATAATGTTGGTTTTGGTATTTTAAGACTCAACGCAATAAACTCAGCCCAATTATTTCAAATTAACTAAGAATACAACAATATTTTCCAACTAGGCGCCAGACGCCTCTCATAAATTTTCTTCGGTTTTACTTCGCTATCTTCTTATGTCTATGTGATTTTGAAGGTATAAGTTCATTCCTAATATGTCTATTACACTGCTTACCAAATGATTTATTTCCACTCAACCATGGGAAAATGTTTGGTTCTTTGTAGTCTTAAACTCTCTTGGTGGATCCAATTGATTTATTACCTATACTGGATATCTAGTTGAACATTCATCCTGAGAATCCAACCAAGGTGTCAGACGGTCCTCCTTGCACTTGTATCTTTCTTTATGGTTTTCTT